GATTTTTGCAATTTTCAGGAATTTTTGCAATTTTTGCATTTTTCAGGCATTTTTGCGATTTTTTCAATTTTCAGGAATTTTTGCGATTTTTGCAATTTTCAGGAATTTTTGCAATTTTCAGGCATTTTTGCGATTTTAGCAATTTTCAGGCATTTTTGCGATTTTTGCAATTTTCAGGCATTTCTGCGATTTTTGCAATTTTCAGGCATTTTTGCGATTTTTGCAATTTTCAAGCATTTTGGCGATTTTTGCAATTTTCAGGCATTTTTGCGATTTTTGCAATTTTCAGGCATTTTTGCGATTTTTGCAATTTTCAGGAATTTTTGCGATTTTTGCAATTTTCAGGCATTTTTGCAATTTTCAGGAATTTTTTCAATTTCCAGGAATTTTTGCAAATTTTTTTGCAATTTCAGGATTTTTGCAATTTTTGCATTTTTCAGGCATTTTTGCGATTTTTTCCATTTTCAGGAATTTTTGCGATTTTTGCAATTTTCAGGAATTTTTGCAATTTTCAGGCATTTTTGCGATTTTAGCAATTTTCAGGCGCTTTTGCGATTTTTGCAATTTTCAAGCATTTTGGCGATTTTTGCAATTTTCAGGCATTTTTGCGATTTTTGCAATTTTCAGGCATATTTGCGATTTTTTCAGTTTCCAGGAATTTTTGCGATTTTTGCAATTTTCATGATTTTTTGCGATTTTTGATTTTCAGGCATTTTTGCGATTTTTGCAATTTTCAGGAATTTTTGCGATTTATGCAATTTTCAGGAATTTTTGCGAATTTTGCAATTTTCAGGAATTTTTGCGATTTATGCAATTTTCATGATTTTTGCGATTTTTGCAATTTTCAGGCATTTTTGCGATTTTTGCAATTTTCAGGCATTTTTGCGATTTTTTCAATTTCCAGGAATTTTTGCGATTTTTGCAATTTTCAGGAATTTTTGCGATTTTTGCAATTTTCAGGCATTTTTGAAATTTTCAGGATTTTTTGCAATTTTTGCGATTTTTGCAATTTTCAGGAATTTTTGCAATTTTTGCATTTTTCAGGCATTTTTGCGATTTTTTCAATTTTCAGGAATTTTTGCGATTTTTGCAATTTTCAGGCATTTTTGCGATTTTAGCAATTTTCAGGCATTTTTGCGATTTTTGCAATTTTCAGGCATTTTTGCGATTTTTGCAATTTTCAAGCATTTTGGCGATTTTTGCAATTTTCAGGCATTTTTGCGATTTTTGCAATTTTCAGGCATTTTTGCGATTTTTGCAATTTTCAGGCATTTTTGCGATTTTTTCAATTTCCAGGCATTTTTGCGATTTTTTCAGTTTTCAGGAGTTTTTGCGATTTTGGCAATTTTCAGGAATTTTTGCAATTTTCAAGCATTTATGCGATTCTTGCAATTTTCAGGCATTTTTGCGATTTTTGCAATTTTCAGGCATTTTTGCGATTTTAGCAATTTTCAGACATTTTTGCGATTTTTTTCAATTTTCAGGAATTTTTGCGATTTTTGCTATTTTCATGATTTTTTGCGATTTTTGCAATTTTCAGGCATTTTTGCGATTTTTGCAATTTTCAGGAATTTTTGCGATTCTTGCAATTTTTAGGCATTTTTTCGATTTTTGCAATTTTCAGGCATTTTTGCGATTTTTGCAATTTTCAGGAATTTTTGCAATTTTCATGCATTTTTGCGATTTTTGCAATTTTCAGGCATTTTTGAAATTTTCAGGAATTTTTGCAATTTTTGCGATTTTTGCAATTTTCAGGAATTTTTGCAATTTTTGCATTTTTCAGGCATTTTTGCGATTTTTTCAATTTTCAGGAATTTTTGCGATTTTTGCAATTTTCAGGAATTTTTGCAATTTTCAGGCATTTTGCGATTTTAGCAATTTTCAGGCATTTTTGCGATTTTTGCAATTTTCAGGCATTTTTGCGATTTTTGCAATTTTCAAGCATTTTGGCGATTTTTGCAATTTTCAGGCATTTTTGCGATTTTGCAATTTTCAGGCATTTTTGCGATTTTTGCAATTTTCAGGCATTTTTGCGATTTTTTCAATTTTCAGGCATTTTTGCGATTTTTTTCAGTTTTCAGGAGTTTTTTGCGATTTTGGCAATTTTCAGGAATTTTTGCAATTTTCAGGCATTTTTGCGATTTTAAGCAATTTTCAGGCATTTTTGCGATTTTTTCAATTTCCAGGATTTCTTGCGAATTTTTTGCAATTTTCAGGAATTTTTGTGATTTTTGCAATTTTCATGATTTCTTGCGATTTTTGCAATTTTCAGGAATTTTTGCGATTTTTGCAATTTTCAGACATTTTTGCGATTTTTCAATTTTCAGGAATTTTTGCGATTTTTGCTATTTTCATGATTTTTTGCGATTTTTGCAATTTTCAGGCATTTTTGCGATTTTTGCAATTTTCAGGCATTTTTGCGATTTTTGCAATTTTCAGGCATTTTTGCGATTTTTTCAATTTTCAGGCATTTTTGCGATTTTTTCAGTTTTCAGGAATTTTCGCGATTTCGGCAATTTTCAGGAATTTTTTGCAATTTTCAAGCATTTATGCGATTTTGCAATTTTCAGGCATTTTTGCGATTTTTGCAATTTTCAGACATTTTTGCGATTTTAGCAATTTTCAGACATTTTTGCGATTTTTTCAATTTTCAGGAATTTTTGCGATTTTTGCTATTTTCATGATTTTTTGCGATTTTTGCTATTTTCATGATTTTTTGCGATTTTTGCAATTTTCAGGCATTTTTGCGATTTATGCAATTTTCAGGAATTTTTGCAATTTTCAGGCATTTTTGCGATTTTTGCAATTCTCAGGCATTTTTGAAATTTTCAGGAATTTTGCAATTTTTGCGATTTTTGCAATTTTCAGGAATTTTTGCGATTTTTGCAATTTTCAGGCATTTTTGCGATTTTTGCAATTTCAGGCATTTTTGCGATTTTTGCAATTTTCAGGAATTTTTGCAATTTTCAGGCATTTTTGCGATTTTTGCAATTTTCAGGCATTTTTGAAATTTTCAGGAATTTTTGCAATTTTTGCGATTTTTGCAATTTTCAGGAATTTTTGCAATTTTTGCATTTTTCAGGCATTTTTGCGATTTTTTCAATCTTCAGGAATTTTTGCGATTTTTGCAATTTTCGGGAATTTTTGCAATTTTCAGGCATTTTTGCGATTTAGCAATTTTCAGGCATTTTTGCGATTTTTTCAATTCCAGGCATTTTTGCGATTTTTGCAATTTTCAAGCATTTTGGCGATTTTTGCAATTTTCAGGCATTTTTGCGATTTTTGCAATTTTCAGGCATTTTTGCGATTTTTGCAATTTTCAGGCATTTTGCGATTTTAGCAATTTTCAGGCATTTTTGCGATTTTTTCAGTTTTCAGGAGTTTTTGCGATTTTGGCAATTTTCAGGAATTTTTGCAATTTTCGAGCATTTATGCGATTTTGCAATTTTCAGGCATTTTTACGATTTTTGCAATTTTCAGGCATTTTTGCGATTTTAGCAATTTTCAGACATTTTTGCGATTTTTTCAATTTTCAGGAATTTTTGCGATTTTTGCTATTTTCATGATTTTTTGCGATTTTTGCAATTTTCAGGAATTTTTGCGATTCTTGCAATTTTCATGCATTTTTGCGATTTTTGCAATTTTCAGGCATTTTTGCGATTTTTGCAATTTTCAGGAGTTTTTGCAATTTTCAGGCATTTTGCGATTTTTGCAATTTTCAGGCATTTTTGCGATTTTTTCAATTTTCAGGAATTTTTGCGATTTTTGCAATTTTCATGATTTTTTGCAATTTTTGCAATTTTCAGGCAATTTCACGTTTTTTTTAATTTTTATGATTTTTTGCGATTTTTGCAATTTTCAGGCATTTTTGCGATTTTTGCAATCTTCAGGAATGTTTGCGATTTTTGCAATTTTCAGGAATTTTTGCGATTTTTGCAAATTTCAGTCATTTTTGCGATTTTTGCAATTTTCAGGCATTTTTGAGATTTTTGCAATTTTCAGGAATTTTCGCCATTTTTTGCAATTTTCAGGCATTTTTGCGATTTTTGCAACTTTTTCAATTCCAGGCATTCTTGCGATTTTAGCAATTTTCATGATTTTTTGATTTTGCAATTTTCAGGCATTTTTGCGATTTTTGCAATTTTCAGGAATTTTTGCGATTTTAGCAATTTTCATGATTTTTTGCGATTTTTGCAATTTTCAGGCATTTTTGCGATTTTTGCAATTTTCAGGAATTTTTGCAATTTTTGCAATTTTCAGGCATTTTTGCGATTTTTGCAATTTTCAGGCATTTTTGCGATTTTTGCAATTTTCAGGCATTTTTGCGATTTTAGCAATTTTCAGGCATTTTTGCGATTTTTTCAATTTCCAGGAATTTTTGCGATTTTTGCAATGTTCATGATTTTTTGCGATTTTTTCAATTTTCAGGCATTTTTGCGATTTTTGCAATTTTCAAGCATTTTTGCGAATTTTGCAATTTTCAGGAATTTTTGCGATTTTTGCAATTTTCAGGAATTTTTGCGATTTCAGCAATGAAGAAAAACACGAACTCGCTCTTCCTCTGTGCGACAAACTCAAACTGTTCGGCAAATGCCAAGACTGCAGGTCTTATAATCGATATGGATTGTATCACACATATTATGAATAAATCAAATCAAAATCTTGCACGATATTCTGTACAAACATCAAGATGGAACTTGATTGACCGTTTTAAGTTGCCATTTTGAATATTGTACAATGGAATGCACATTGTCATACAGACTTAATTATTTTTTTTAAGTCTCTCGTAAACTTCGAGGAAGAAGAAAAACACGAACTCACTCTGCCTTTGTGCGACAAACTCAAACTGTTGGGCAAATGCCAAAACTGCAGGTCTTATAATCTATATAGATTGTATCACACATATTATTATGAATAAATCAAATCAAAATCTTGCACGATATTCTGTACAAACATCAATTTGGAACTTGATTGACCGTTTAAGTTGCCATCTTGATTATTGTACAATGGAATGAACATTGTCATACAGGCTTAATTCTTTCTTATTGTCTCTCGTAAACATCGAGGAAGAAGAAAAACACGAACTCGCTCTTCCTCTGTGCGACAAACTCAAACTGTTCGGCAAATGCAAAGACTGCAGGTCTTATAATCCATATAGATTGAATCACACATATTATTATGATTAAATCAAATCACATCAAAATCTTGCACGATATTCTGTACAAACATCAAGATGGAACTCGATTGACCGTTTTAAGTTGCCATCTTGATTATTGTACAATGGAATGCACATTGTCATACAGGCTCAATTCTTTCTTATAGTCTCTCGTAAACATCGAGGAAGAAGAAAAACACGAACTCGCTCTTCCTTTGTGCGACAAACTCAAACTGTTCGGCAAATTTGGTTATTTGGTTATGTAAACTGAGCATACGTTCTGATTATTTATTGCACTTTCAAACCTCATGTGGCATAACTTAATTTGTTTGTTTTTTTTTTATCATCAATATTTGATGTTTAATGTATATTTTGTGTTTGATACTTGATAATTGATGATTGATATATGGTATTTAATGTTTGAAGTTTAATATCTAATGCTTAGTATTCGATACTCAATGTTCGATATTGATATTTTGTGTTTGATACTTAAATTTTACTAAGTATTTATTGGCTATGTAAACTGAGCATACGTTCTGATTATTTTTGTAGGGTTGAATGGAAGAGCAGTCTCTGACATCTACATGATGTGCAGCGGCTGAATTCCGCCTTTTTGTATCGTAATGATATAAATAAAGACAATTTATTATTATTATTATTATTATTAAATGCAAAGACTGCAGGTCTTACAATCCATATAGATTGTATCACACATATTATTATGAATAAATCAAATCACATCAAAATCTTGCACGATATTCTGTACAAACATCAAGATGGAACTCGATTGACCGTTTTAAGTTGCCATCTTGATTATTGTACAATGGAATGCACATTGTCATACAGGCTCAATTCTTTCTTATAGTCTCTCGTAAACATCGAGGAAGAAGAAAAACACGAACTCGCTCTTCCTCTGTGCGACAAACTCAAACTGTTCGGCAAATGCCAGGACTGTCGTTGCCGCAAGAGACACACCCCGAGACCCACCCTCGACTTGTTGGAGCACCTGCCCAAATCGGGCACCATCAAATTCAAGATAACCTTCCTGCAAGACGTCACCTTGTTCTCCATCAAACTATTGCAACACATCGACAATCACAACAAAATCGACGAATTCGATGAAATGACGAACTGCAGCGAAGATTTGACGAGCTGTTTGAGGATCAGCAAGAAGAAGTTGAGGAATCCTGTGGAAGGGCATATTTACGCCTACTACGATTGTGAAGAGAATGGCTCGTATCACAGGGCTGAGTTGTTGAGGGTGGTCGATAATACTACGGTTAAGGTTAAGTTGATTGACAATGGGACTGTTTTGGAGACGTTAGGAACGAGGTTGTACCGTTTGCCGTCCGAGTTTAAAGAGTCCAACAAGCCTAGAGCAGGTAATTTATTATTATTCGACATCTGGCACCTTCATTGCCAACCTCACAATATGAAACGTCTAACCTTTGGAAATAAATATATGTATAAAATAAAGTAATCGACGCATACTCTGCCATTCCCTTCCGAGACCAAAACTTCTGCGTTAAGTCCTTCCACCATTTGCATCCCAAAAGATTTAGAGATATAAATAGTCCACCTCCTCGGTTAACCTACATACAGTTTATTTTTATGTTTCATTGGCCATATTCTACTTTGAATAGTCAGACATTTTATGATTGTGATATTTGTCGACAGCAATTACTGTCAAAGTGAGTGTCATTTGTCGAATGCATTATCTTTTGTCAATTTCAATTATAATCAGTATGAAAAACGAAGGATCCAAGAAGTTGGTGTTGCTCTTATTTTCATTTATCAACAATTCAACAGTTTTTGTTCTTATAGAAGTACAATAATTTTGATATATGACACCATTGTTACTAACTTCACAAAACAATACTGTTTGCTTGAACTGCTTGTTGCTACCTGTGAATGCTCCAGCTGTTTAGCATTCACTGTTACTCCAGGTAGTCTTGAGTGTTGCTTTGTATCCTTTGTGAAAAACTTGACAGTCTTGAGGGTTTGATCTGTATAGATCCGGCTGGAAGGACCAATATGTTCGATGCTTGATAGATAGTGAACTGTATTTATGTATTGAACGGGTTGGGTTGTTTCACAAATAAGCCGAATGCAAATGTAAGTTTTTGCCAGTTTATTCGTAGCATACATCAAACTGAAATTACGTTACAATATCAGTCCCAGCACATTACCTAACCTCAAACCAGCGTCAACTATCAGTTTCCAGAAAGGAATAGTATAGAAATATAGACTTCTATCTATAATAATAGTGACTTACCTTGTCTCATAGTAGCACGTTATTATTCGGCAGTTACGCCCAAAGGGTGATCAGAATTCTGAATCCTGAAGCACCCTGTATTTTTTCCAATTAAATTCCAGTAGAAAGTGAATCAAAACTTAAGATAAGGACATGTAAGCTGTTTTGATCGATAATGGATATAGTTTCGACACAAAAAAATCCTGAAATTGAAAAATCTCGATTTTGAACACCCAATATGTCTGTAATCATTCCTGCTAGACCCCAAGTGTGATGCATTGATGAAATCAGCTCTTCAGGAAGTATCTAAAAATGCAATAAAATACAGAGTGTTCCATTTGAAATAACAAAGTTGCTAGTTGTTTCTGATAGAAGTGGCAACACTGTATCGTTGAAAATAATTTAGACGGATAGAAAATATTCAATTATCAAAAAACATCCCAATTTTTTTTAGTTCTCCCGATATTTCTAATAGGCCATCCACCGTGGATCACTCTGTATAGGGTAATATAAGTACCAAACTATTATATAAGGTCATACAAACAAATACCGTTGAAAATATGGCCAAAAACCGACTGATCAACATCCCATTCTCATTCCAGTGATCGACGCGTATCTCGCCAACTACATACCTCCCTTCCAAGACCAATTCTTCTGCGCCAGGTCCTTCCACCATTTGCAGTCCATGCTGGACAAGATGGACTACCAGAACGTCATCTTCACCGGCGACGTTCATCTGCAGCTGGGTAACACTTTGTGGCTGAAGAACGTCTGCCAGCAGGTCGAATTGTCTGATATGGTGGTACCGGGCTGTCAAATATCTAGAGAGGTAATATAAATAGTATATTATTCAACAAGCATATAATGAGGGCTATGATATACAGAGTGTCCCTGAAAGGTCTGCACAAAATCACACATATTCTTGTGGTCAAAATATGCCGATTTAAAGCAACTCACCTCATTAGGAAATTATCTTTTTTGCTTAAAATTGTTCAGAAAGTTATTTCCTCGACGAATTAAATAAGAAACTACACTGAGAAAAAAGTAATGACCATTCTCAACTACAAGAAGTGCATTGGTAAGCACCTTCTGATGGCCACCGTGAAAGAGCATCCCAAAAAATTCCAAAATATCTATTCTTGGAGTAATGCGTTCAAAAATGTTCTACATTCGATTTTTATTCATTAACTTTACCACCCTGTAGATTTCCTAAATGTACTTGACACCGCTGTTTTGACGTTTTTTTGTATATTAGAGTACGGACACCATGACCAGCACTGACAATCAGTCATAACCACAAATAAATTGATGGAAAAAGCGGGAACTGACAGTACACGGACGTACATGACTTGAATTTCGAAGGTTTGACAAATTGAGAGAATTAGGAGAAAGATGCAAGTTTGTGCAGTTTCCAATTGTGAGAACACAGGAAATCAATTCACTCTATTCGAATTTCCATCGGATAACGAAATTCAACAAAACTGGAAACAGAATTTGATGCGGCCGGCATGGAATATTCGTGGGAATCAATGTCACCAGGTGGCGCTCGGTTTTCATCGTTCCATGTCAAAGCCACGTCAAAACTGGGGGAAAACAAACTCAATCCTCACTCAATCCCATTAGTGTCATTAGCATGTGTACTGTATACTGATAAGAGCGATAAGTTTTTAAATTTCTTGACATTAATTGTCAATATTCGATCGAAAACGCTAATAACGCCGGTTGTAGATGTTATTTTGGCAGATATTTTGCTCTATTTAGATGGAAAAAGCCGACCAGTAGTGGAAGGAGAAGCAGGTCTCCGTGCTAATCATGTGATTTTGTGTGAGGCAGAAGACTTCAACAAAAGGCACATTTTTGCACTTTGTCTACAAACTTCGGCGATGAAATCTTCCCCACATGAAGTAAAATTAAACTTGGGGTCCATAGGAACTCCTGTAGAACAATGGATTTGTATTTGTTCCTGCAAAGCAGGACAATCTGGGTATTGTAAACATGTTGTAGCTGTTCTTTTATATGTCACTTGATTTGCTAGTCATAATTAGTTTGAATTGTTTGAACTATCTTCAATTCTTCACCCGTTCTCTGTTCACTAAACTAATAAAAATGTAATAATGTAAAAAAATTAACCAACTCAACCATCATCACTACCAACAATGCCAACACTTTATGTCATTGACAAGTTTGACTACAGCTACAGCAAGCTGAATGCAATGTGGTCTATGCACTTTATCCATAGACAACAGTTTGTTTTCCCCCAGTTTGAAGTTCGTATTATGTATCTTAGATGTCGCCCACTTCGCGAATCTCGCGAATAGGTTCAGGCCACAAAATTTGCGGGGTATACAATATCAATATCAACATAATCGTAGATTCTGGGACAATAAAAATCCACACAAATTTTGACAGGACCATACTCAGTGTTCTGAGGAAATCTGGGAAAAATTCAAATGGACAATTATCATTGTACCTGGATTTATTGGAAAATACAATTGATCCCCTCATCACACAATCTTTGAAGAGGCAAATGGATGATCATGAAAATATGTTGCTGGACGAAATTAACCTGTTCTTTCAGCAGGATGGAGCTTCACCACATTTTTTTCTAGAGGTGAGAGAATGGTTGAGTCAACTATTTCCTAGGCAGTGAATTGGCAGAAGAGATGCCATAGAATGGCCAGCAAGATCTCCAGATTTGACATCTCTTGACTATTTTCTGTGAGGTCACTTGGAAATAATGGTTTATAAGACCACACCAGAAGATATTGATTAACTCAAAAGAAGAATCATTTCAAAATGCAGACAAATTAATCGAGAAACGTTTATGATGAAATATTACTATGCAATCTTCTATTTTGAGTCGAATATCTCGAAAACTGTTCATTTCAGCTCAGTTGAAGGTGATGCATTTTCTGAACAAAATTGAACAATGGATTCGAGGAATTGGAAATAATCGAAATTTAATCAGTGGGGTGGAAAATATGAGAGGAAAAGTTGCCACAACCCCCTGTAGGGCACTACTGGATAAAATTTCCGGAATGGCTTTCTGACCAGAAAATGACCCATTCAAAGATGAAACCATATACCGAAGTTGAATGCATTATATTCAATTTTTCTTGAGATATTACGAAAAACTATTTTCATTTCTTAACTTTAACGCCCTGTATCTCGAGAACTGTATCTCAGTGATTATGAAATCACAAGGGCTATCACCTGTCAAGCGTTGTCGGTCGAATTTCGAAACACCCTGTATATCCATTTTCAGGACCCTGTAGATCGTTTGTTCCCAGCACCCTGTATTTTCTGATGTAGCGGAAAAAACGATATCAAAAATTATTTTAAATGATGCCTCAAATTTCGCAATCTGCTCAAAAATAACTGAGCTAGAGGGGCGGAAGGGGGGGGGCATTTATGGTGAATCACCCTGTACAGTGTTTCCAGTTTTCGATGCTTTTGTGTGATAGCTCAGTTATCTCTCAAGATAGAACCTTGCGGGTTTCGCGATCGTGTGCTACTTTTTTGTGAAACTCAAGATGGCCCAATCAGATTTTGCATAACTGTTTCCGTTTATGAGATACAGGGCGATTTTGAAAATTTATACTTTTTGGACCCCCTCTATATCTACGAAGTTTCTCATCAAAAATGTCAAATTTAAATCTCATCCCATATGAAAGTTTACGCAAAATCCAGTGGCGTACTCAAAATTTTTTTTCAGGGTAAGGTTTTGGAGATACGACTCAAACTTATGTTTTTTTAAATGGAACACCCTGTATTTTATAAGCTTATAAAATTCCTTATTTTTTCTCTTTAAAATGATTTATGATGTATGTATATGAAATTTTCAAGAATGCTCTGAAATCACTGAAACATTGAATTTTAATTGTGGGCTATGGATTTTTCTTATAAAAAAGTTTCAATTAAAGAAATATTCATTTTGATTATTCCATAAAGAGGACAAAAACAATACCAACACTAATTAACTAAGAAAACACAAAAATTATGTACCTGATAGCAACAAATAAATAGTAATAAAAATTTCATAATGTAGAATAAGCACCAGATTGAATATTTACAAATACAATTGAATTTCGGAATTATTCAATAACTTATTCACTGAATTGTTCAAATTGATGTCCATTTTCCATAACACACAATTGACACATTTTCTCAATACGTCTTGATACAGTAAGAGTCACAAATATCTTGAAGAACTTCGTGCAACAACAGAGGCAGTTTTCCAGGAAATACAAAGATATTGAGAAAGCATGTGAGGGAAAGTGGATATCAATTTGAACAATTCAATGAATAAATTACTGATTAATTTCGAAATTCAATTGTCTTAGTGAATATTAAATCAGGTGCTTATTCTAGAATATGAACTTTTTATTACCATTCATTTGTTGCTATCAGGTACCTAATTTTTGTGTTATCTTAATTAACTAATGTTGGGATTGTTTTTGTCCTTTTCATGGAAGAATAAATTGAAATATTCTCCAATTGGAACTTTTTTTAAATGAAAAATCCATAGCCCACAATCAAAATTCAATGTTTTAGTGATTTTGGAGCATTTTTGGATATTTCATACATATTCATCATATTTCATTTCGATGAGGAAAAAATAAGGAATTTAATGAGCCTTTAAAATACAGGGTGTTCCATTTGAAATATCAGAAGTTTGAGTCGTATCTCCGAAACCATACCCAGAAAAAAAAATTTGAGTGCGCTACTGAATTCTGCGCAAAATTCTGTATGGGTTAAAATTACAATTTGACATTTTCGCTGAGAAACTTCGTAGATATAGAAGGGGTTCAAGAAGTATAAATTTTCAAAATCGCCCTGTATCTCATAAACGCAAACAGTTATGCGAAATCTGATTAGGCCATCTTGAGTTTCACAGAAAAGTGGTACAGGACCGCGAGAACCGCAAGGTTCTATCTCGAAAGATAACTGAGATATCACACGAAAGCATCGAAAACTGGACACCCTGTACACACCTTGTAGATGAAGTGTTCGTTTGTCCTCGGAATAGGTGGCCAGGAAGAGCCTGGTAACGTACAGCAACGACCAACTCTACAATCTGTACAAGTTGTGCGCAGACGCTGGAATCGCGCTACCCTCCTACGACAAGAAGCCAACGAGGGGCTCGAAAAGTAGGGGCGAGAAGGTGGTTTGGCAGTGGGCCCACTTGGACGTCGAGGGGGTGAACGAGGTGACTTTTTCGGCTGCCGTGTCACCTGACGAGGTTTACGTTAGGCTCAACAAATTCGGCGACTTGTAAGTTATTGACTGCTCATTTTTTTCTTTTGAAAGTGGTGAATTTTTTCTGGTTATTTATTTCTTTATTCTTTCAAAAGTTATAGAAAAAATTATGAATTATCGTCTTCTTGATTTCCTGGAAAACAACAATTTGCTATACAGTGGTCAGTATGGATTCCGTAGATCGAAAGACACTGAAGTAGCCGTTATGGATGTTATTTCAGATACCCAATTACGAATCGAATATCAGGGTGTATTCATGAAAAGTGGGACACACTGTATAATATTTTTTCCACTAATAACACTGAAAAATCAACATATTTCATCGATTCAGATTTTCATTTCCATTGGAGGAGCAATGACATTCACCTTGTATAATCAGCATTGTTCTGCACCAGCATATTAATAAAATTTTGGAAAATATCAAGTATATACAGTGTGTCCACCTTAAGGACTTACCACCCCTGTAAAATCGTTATTATCCGACCGATTTCAAAAAACATTTTTTTGTTGGATAGGTATTTGAAATGCCCATCCAACGAGAGAATGATCTAATTCTTGGACTGTAATCGTGGCCAACTGCGTCAAATTTCAATGACCCATATTCCAGAAAGTACTATTAGGGATTTTTTTTCCACGAAACTTGATGATGGATTCTGAATCTGTACCACTTGAAATATACCTGTACCGATTTTCATCATCATAAAACACAGGGTGTCCGAAAAAACGAATCATCATTTTCTTCAAATCGGTGATCAGCCAAATGTAGTTCTGTGGTTTTTCTAGAAAGAAATAATCACAAATTATCATTGAGGATTATTTCAAATATACCTGTACCAATTTTCGTCTTTTGAATATACAATGTGTCTGAGAAAAAAATTAAAAAGGATAGGTAAGCAATATTTTTCATCCTGATAATTCTTCACTCAAAATGAAAAGATGAATCAGGATCACTTGGAACATACCTGTACCGATTCTCATCATCATTACACACTGGGTGTTCGAAAAATCAAATTAATATTTTTTTTGAGTTGATAATAATAATAATAATAATAATAATAATAATAATAATAATAATAATAATAATAATAATAATAATAATAATAATAATATTTATTTGTCTAAGTGATGACAACAAGTAATATAATAACATAATTCAACACAAAAATAATGTACACTAACAACAAATAAACATTGAGGTACCCATAAAACCCTAAGGTTGAGCATGGGCATACTTCATTGTGAACCTGTTTCCAGTTTTATTTTTATTTTTATTTCCAATCTGATGAAAAAATATTGCCTACTTTTTCTTTTTAATTGTTTTCTCATGCACATCGTATTTTTGAATGATGAAAATCGGTACAGATATGTTCAAAGTGATCCTCAATAATAATGTGTCATCAATTCTTCTCAAAAATACCACAATACTACATTTTCTGATCACCTATTAAAAAAAAACATAATTCGTTTTTTTGGACAACCTGTGTTTTATGATGATAAAAATCAGTAAAGGTGTTTTTCAAGTGATCGTGATTCAGAATCCATCATTGTTTTTTGTGAAAAAAAAATCCCTAATAATACTTTCTCAAATATGAGAAAATAAAGTTGGTCGCAGTTGGCCACGATTACAGTTCATGAGTAAAATCACTCTCCTGTTGGATGGACATTTCAAATACCTATCCAACAAAAAAAAGTTTCTTGAAATCGGTTAGATAATAACAATTTTACAGGGGTGGTAAGTCCTTAAGGTGGACACACTGTATATGAATTCAGTCGTCAAATGTATTAGAAAAATATTCGACTTAGCTGTCAGAAAATAACCGCTGTATTGAAAAATTCCAGGTGAAATTGTGTATACAAAACCGTGTGAGAATTTAAGTGACATTCATTTTGATAGGAAGCTTGTACCCCACCCCGCCTGCATGAAGTTTGTATGTAAACTTTTTAAACCTTATGAATATTACACATGATACCATTGAACAATCATCGTACAGGCATCTTAATAATATCGTATCGACCGCCATAGCTGAAATGGGCTTATATCACAAAAAATTTGTATTTCATAATTCGATAGAACTCACCCAAAGTAGCTCACCACCGCAAACCGCTTCTTGCTGTGAGCTCCCTACGTTTTATAAAAAATTATTGAAATACCCGATTTTTCGGACCTCTGAAAACGAGGCGATGATGTGACGTCAAAACCCTAATACTGAAACAAGACTATTCCAGACAGAGATGAATGATACATGATTTCTGACAGAGTGAATTAGCGCGAGATCACAGTTGAAAGAATTAATATATCAGTTGCCTCAGTCTCCGTCGGGCGTTTGGTATTTTCTTTGAACTATGGCGAGATGAGCTTTCTACGTCATAAGAGGGTCCGTTTTCAGAAGGTACTAGTATTTATGTCCAAAAATAAAACATTCCAGTTGATTTTTCGATCGAATTATGTCGTCAATCATTATTTATGTATAAAAGGATCATTATAAACATGGTTTGAGTTAAAAGTTCTATTAAGGTGTACACGCCCATTGTTTTGAGAGGTCAAAAAATGTGTCCTTACCGAAAGTCATCGTTATTTGAATTTTCGGTCTTGACAGTGACAGCCCACGTATAATTGGTGTTGTGACTTTTTTATTAGAATTAATAATATTCAGATTATTACAAACATTTTTCATACTTGAACAGTTGCTTTCAGATTTGATGAGATATGTAGTTTCAACTATATTGGTGTGTATATATCATTGACACTATTGACAATTTTTTTTCTACCTAGGTAATATTTCATTATCAATTCATTATTTACCTAGGTATGGAAAGTGTTACTTCTCATTATAGGAAATCCTTGAATAATTGTGATTTCTCAGGTTCATAGTCGAATGAAGTATTTTTTTAACAAAGTTATGTTTCGAAGAATGACAAGTTTAATTTTTGAGAAAACTTATCTTGAAAATCTCCATATTCCATTAATCAATCTGGAATGGCACAGATGTAGAGTATCGAAGTGAAGTGTCCTACAAACGAATAAGGAGAACTTGCAAAAACTCGTTATGAGATTTTGAGATATTTGGAATAGTTTGCATTGTTCCTGGAATAGTTTGCATTGTTCCTGGAATATCCTAAAACAGCAGTGGATTTGAACTATGCTTTCATAATTGTGCCATATAGTATTCATTGTAAAATACACATGTGAGAACATCATGGGTCTACTCTTCTAAGAGCACTGATCCATTAAAACAAAGAATGTGGCTTTCCTTCAGTGCATGAATAATTTGGAAAAGAACTGGTATAAAACCACTGTTTATACCTAACTCTTGAAGGCGACACCCTCCTTTGTAGAGAGGCATTACGAACGCCAAAGTTGATACACTCCCCTCGTAAGGGTACCTGACGTGATTCTATACACTCACAAACATGAATGTCGATTGATTTCTCGACTGTATGAATGAAATAATTAGTAAATCGATAAAAGTTTTGTTGTAGCGAAGTAATGTTCGAAAAAGAATAGAACTCTGATCTATATTTTAGGAATGACAAATCTAATATTTGAGAAAACTTATCCTAAAAAATCTCCATATTCCATTATTCGAACTGGAATGTCACAGATGTAGAGTATCGAAGTGAAGTATCCTACAAACTTATAAGTAGTCCTAGCACAAACTCGTTTTGAGATTTTGAGACATCTGGAATAGTTTGCATTCTTCCTGGAATAGTTTGCATCGTTCCTGGAATATCCTAAAGCAAAATTGGATTAGAATTATGCTTTCATAATTGTGCCATATAGTATTCATTGTGAAATACACATATGAGAACATCATGGGTCTATTCTTCCAAGAGCACTGATCCATTAAAACAAAGAATGTGGCTTTCCTTCAGTGCATGAATAATTTGGAAAAGAACTGGTATAAAACCACTGTTTATACCTAACTCTTGAAGGCGACACCCTCCTTTGTAGAGAGGCATTACGAACGCCAAAGTTGATACACTCCCCTCGTAAGGGTACCTGACGTGATTCCATACACTCACATACATGAATGTCGATTGATTTCTCGACTGTATGAATGAAATAATTAGTGAATCGATAAAAGTTTTGTTTTAACGAAGTAGTGTTCGAAGAAGAATAGAACTCTGATCTACATTTTAGGAATGACAAATTTAATGTTTGAGAGAACTTATCTTGGAAATCTCCATATTTCATTGATCGATCTGGAATGGCACAGATGTAGAGTATCAAAGTGAAGTGTCCTACAAACTCATGAGTAGTCCTTGCGAAAACTCGTTTCGAGATTTTGAGACATCTGGAATAGTTTGCATTCTTCCTGGAATAGTTTGCATCGTTCCTGGAATATCCTAAAACAAAATTGGATTAGAATTATGCTTTCATAATTGTGCCATATAGTATTCATTGTGAAATACACATATGAGAACATCATGGGTCTATTCTTCCAAGAGCACTGATCCATTAAAACAAAGAATGTGGCTTTCCTTCAGTGCATGAATAATTTGGAAAAGAACTGGTATAAAACCACTGTTTATACCTAACTCTTGAAGGCGACACCCTCCTTTGTAGAGAGGCATTACGAACGCCAAAGTTGATACACTCCCCTCGTAAGGGTACCTGACGTGATTCCATACACTCACATACATGAATGTCGATTGATTTCTCGACTGTATGAATGAAATAATTAGTGAATCGATAAAAGTTTTGTTTTAACGAAGTAGTGTTCGAAGAAGAATAGAACTCTGATCTACATTTTAGGAATGACAAATTTAATGTTTGAGAGAACTTATCTTGGAAATCTCCATATTTCATTGATCGATCTGGAATGGCACAGATGTAGAGTATCAAAGTGAAGTGTCCTACAAACTCATGAGTAGTCCTTGCGAAAACTCGTTTCGAGATTTTGAGACGTCTGGAATAGTTTGCATTCTTCCTGGAATAGTTTGCATCGTTCCTGGAATATCCTAAAACAAAATTGG